AGCTAGCTAGTGAGGCGGTCCAACTGAGCAGGCGTTAGAACTAGAACTTTGAGCGGTTCTAGCTCGCTCCTCGCTCGCTGAGGAGTCGCGAGAGTGAGATAGTATCTAGCTTGGGGGCTGAACTACCTGCCCAAGGAAGGACGACCATGTACTACTTGAGCGCGGGGGCTGTCTTTAACAATCAGTGGAAGAGAGGTTGGCGCCGCGCCAAACCCAACCCCCGCGCCCCAGCGTCCGCAATGAACAATACCGCCAGCGAAAAACTGTATCAGAGCTATGAGGTGAACAGGGAAGAACTGTCCAGAGGAGATTGTCCAGCTCCATCTGAGACGACTGTGCCCATTGTCATACAAGGAGAAAACTTTCTTCTGTATCCCTCTTCGCTTAGTTGCCACTTTACAACTGTCTGCGGTACATTTCTCATACTCATCATGCATGCAACCCGTTTGGCAGAAGCTCACAACAGACGATTCCCTTGAAATTCCATCAGCAGCACAACACGATCTTCACCGGTCGAGGCTCTGCGAGCAGGACAGCACCAACATGAGGTAGTGGCAACGAATATGATCTTCATAGCCTAGGTTAGTTAGGCATCCGCAGTACTGGGCTAGCAAGTCAACTAACTAAGTTCCTCAATCTCCAAAATGTCCCAGGAATTATTGGCCATTTTTATATCTCAGACTTGGGCAATGAACCGTTTATTGAACCTTACCAACACTAAACACTTGAAAAAGGATAAAAATGTACTTCAAACAATTTGGTGAAATTTATTGAATATTGTGAGGAAATCGCTACCATGTACAATCTTGTCGTTGCGGACGTAGGGGCGTTCCTAACGGCTGGGTCTGGCGCGGTGCCAGACTGTTCTTCACCAATTGTGAAAACTGACAGGCGGCGACGACTGGCCGCGCCCCCTTTCTTTATTTATTTAATGAAAGTTCGGTTTTCTTTGGTGGGTTTTCCCCTTAGATGCCCCAGCGTCCGCAGCGAATAAGACTGTACCCCTATACTGTCCCCACTCTTCAAAATTGACGAAAAGGTTCCCAAGCTAAAAAGATTTGTTCAGCTTTGAGCTCAAGGGAGTACTGCGAAATCCGCGTGAAGCGAGAATGCCCGGCTTCCAAGTCTAGGCGCCGGCGCCATGGGCCAATTTTGGCTTAGACGCCCATAACTATCGTTCCGGGCTTCTGCGCCAAGTAGATGTTACTTTCTTGATCAGTGAGTCGAACTACTCCCAGAAACGAGACCGCACGAACCAAACCGAGCCCGAGCTTCAAACAGCGGAGCGGTAAAAGGGGAATAGACCTAAGAAGCCCCAATATTATTAGAGAACAAGGACTTAGTCGCAATTGCAACAATTTAGATGAATTAAAGGAAAGGCTTGGTGAATGATTCATTGCATTTACATGATACCAATGCGACATGCCCTTTGCTGTAGCAAATCATCTTTGCGTGTCAGAAGCATGTGATTCTGATAAAAACATAGAGAATTTTCCAAGAATTCGAATTGCGAAATTCAGTCGAACATTCGCAACTGTGGTGATTCACTCAAAAGGGGAAAAGAGAGGAGGACGAACCAATAGAAGAGATCCGAAAATATCTTCCATCGGAAGCCAGAAAACGAAGCCAGAAAAAGTCATAGAGCCTACCGCGCTCGTTTCTATTCCTCTAGTCTCCTACTCTTCTCAGTACTTCATCATACTATTTTAGCCTAGCCACAAGCCACAAGGTAACGGACACGACAGCTGGGGGCGGACGGTTATTGCCGACGTCATTGGCGAATGGAATGAGCGGGGTGTGGCCAAACACCTTGCAACTCTTCCCCCAATGACACTGGCAGTGAATGCCCGCCTCCAGCCCCGTGCCCATTGCCTTTAAACTCGCGAAATAATAGTAATATTATGTATAGACAACAAAAAAAGCAACATTCCGGTGTGGCATAAGGAGCTCTAAATGTCATGCAGTGGTTTTTGCTGTAGACACTGGGACGGTTGGGGTATGACGCGACCACAGCCCGTTTTACAACTGTTGTCGCTTGCCTCTTCTACAATTGGCCGGGAACGTGTTGACAACCCGCCACATCCAGCCCTCTGACACGCCCCTGTGTCTGCAGCGAAAACGGGTGTGTGTACTCCCACGTGATCAAATGGTGTAACACAATACCGGTGAAATCTGATGACACACCCGATGTAATGATCGGCACAATGTTTTTCTTGAAAACATTGTAAAGTGATGACGGCTTCAACGATGACTGGTGATTTGTCACCGCGTATGTCATTTTGCAAGCACGGAGGAATCCAAATTGCTGCTAGTTGAGCTCGGGAACTCTGAGGCTTTTGCTTCTCTTGGTTTCCTTGCGAAATTTCAAATAACAGGTGTGATAGAGCCAAATGATGATGGTCGAACTTATTTCTTCTCCAGACTTAGAGATCCTCAATTATAGAGTACATATCCGTGAGACGCGGGAGGAGGGGCTGCGAGCTTCGAGGAACCCCGCTATGGCGGATAGTGGCGCCCAATTACAAATCTTTAGCCGTTAAAGGTCCCTCTAGAGAAGAAAAAGTAAAAAAAAATTATGGAAAACACCTCAACTGCAGTCTTCTTCTCCACGGATGATGGGGCGTGTCAAGAGCGGACGGGTTTGGCGCAGCCGCCAGATCATTTTTTTGCTTTTTTTAGCAGGTGACAAGACTCTATCATATTGTTCGCTCCAGTCGTTTTCCACTGGCAGACGCTGCTGGTCGCTGGACTGATACCCTAGTTCCCTAGCCCTCGAGACGCTGCTGGTCGCTGGTGGACGCTTTATCGATATCTACACTTTCCCAGTCCTGCCTGAAACGCTAGTAGCTCCTGATAGACGCTTCTGGTCGCCGGTCGACGCTGCCGCGAACTATGCGCACGGGTCCCTTGAAGTGTGAGCCACGGGTCTCTTGCTTCCAGTGAAATTCTCTATAACGAACAAATAATCATTTTATTCGGAAGCCAAATCGATTGCTAGTTAAAATATAGGGGGGGGGGAATGAATCAAGTAACAATCTACTGCAAGAATGTCCAAGAAGATTATAGACAAGAGCATGTGCTTAGATAGAAGAGTTATTGGATAGATTAGTGTATTAGAAGTACGCGACTTTCTTCAGCCCTTCAAAAATAATTTCTCGGTCGAGTTGTGGGACCGAATAAATTGCCACGCTATAGAACCCTGTAGGGCAAAATCATGTGGCTGATGATAAAAAAAACAATTTGATAATTATCCGTGGTGCACGGGCTATGATAAAATGATATGACCAGTGTGGACGGGCTGAACAGCTCTCTTTTCCTCACAGCCACGTAAGGAACCGTTTAATTTCAGGGCCAATTTCGCGCGTCTTCCCAGCAGCTGACGAGGCTGAAAGAGGTCTTTACATGGGCGTAAGCTGAACAGAAAGCTGCTATCTGATGATAATTGCACGATCGATGACATTGGGGAACTAGGAAGTAGGAGCAGGAGGAGTATGACATTAAAGCACATTTGATTTTGCACGAAAACATACACATGCCAAAATAAACGTGAGACTGAAAAGGATAGAGTAGAGAGTAATTATATTCAATTTAACATCGACATAATAGAATTATTAACAATAATAAATGGAACCAGACGGCTAGCAATATGTGGTTTTCTTGTACTCCTCCAATGATTTCAATTGTACTTTTGGACGGAAATTGTAATTCAAGAGCAGATGTGACGTCGAGAATCCGACGAGCCATGCCGTCCATTTTCGATTTTTCCGACTGTCAAAACCAAGAAGATGTACAGCGGCATACCAAAATAGGCCTGTCATCAGAGTACGGTATATACGCATCCTGAATTGATTGATCATTTTCAACATTTTCAAAGGGAGTCGCTTTGGGAATTTCGCTCTTTCTCTGAATTCCTCAGCTTGAGCTCTGTAGCATTTTTGGCAAAAATTGCAATAACCTTACAGTCGTCATCTGGGCAGTTGATTAGGCGGTCAGACGCGGCTGCGGCGCGTCACGACCGCGGCGATCAGCTGTTTCCAGCCTATTTAGCCATTTTCTCCCTAATTTTCACTGTATTTTGGCTGTTTTGTAATCATAACTGCTGTTTAACGCTGCAGTTCCGAATGTTGTCACGAGAAGAGGGTAAAGCGGCCCTGGTGGCGTAACGGATAGCGCACTCGCCCGGAAAGCGTGAGGTGCGGGTTCGACTCCCGCCTGGGGCACGACTTTTGCCCATAACTCAGCATTCTTGTGACTACATTTCACTTTAATATTTTTCTTCCAAGGTAAGTTGTTTTTTGACTTTACGAACCATGTTAGGGCGAGAAGTGCTTTTGCGATTTTTTGGTATTTGTCTGATTGTTTCTTTAATTATTTAATTGTTCGCAAAAATTAGAGAAATCTCAATCATAATTTACCTTGTGAAGACAAGGAACAACTAACCTTAAGAAAAGCAGCCAAAAACAGTGAAAATTAGGGAGAAAATGGCTAAATAGGCTGGAAACAGCTGATCGCCGCGGTCGTGACGCGCCGCAGCCGCGTCTGCGACCCTTTGACCGCCTAATCAAGTACCATGACGACTGTATCATTATTTCATCTTCTCACAGAAAAGATGGGTTCAAACAACGACTGTACTTTTTGCAAGAAGTTCTCGAATTAGCTAGGTACCATATATGTGTCATTTCACTCTAAATTCATTTTCAAACCAAATCCACCACTTTTCAGACAATTGGGCGACTTTTCAAAACAAATTCAACACTTCGTTAAACATGCCACAGAGACCTTGCTGCAGGCCACGCCCACATTAAACGTGATTTTTTGGGCTTTATTCTATTACTTCTGCTTTTGTACTTCTCTGTTCACATATTCTAGCCACTCTCCCTGTTCTCTCATCCTTCCTCTCTGGTCTCTCGTTCGCGCAGCAGTGTCTCGCTCCATCGAGTACTCGTCCAATACTGAGGCTTAATTCAGGGCGTCTTGAACACTTTGTTCTATTTTCTGAGAAATCAACAACCATATTCATTTTGGCCCAGTAACAATATAATAAATAAAATACCCTTAAATTTATGAATAATATGAAAAAATTCTCACCGTGCTAGTTTTGCTCGTGCGGCTTGAAGCTTATCAAGATCCTCCTTCAGAATATATTTTTTGATTCCCATAACATAATCAAAGAGATATGAATCCCAGTCAAGTTGCCTGACGTCGAAGTTGAACTGCTGAAGTAATGTGAGTGAAATTTAATGTTTGCGAAAAAGGACAGGTGGCGAGGAAATCCTAATTCGCCGCACGAGTGAGCGCCGCGTGCGGCGGCGCGTCTGCTGATGACGACCATTTCAGGTGTTACGGTCAAGAATAGACAATGTATGACCAAAAATAGACATAAGTGTCTACCATGTCCTTGTCTACATGAAATCCGATGCTCCAATCGAAAGGGTAGTGCAAATTAAGGAAACGTCGCGCCCACTGCCGCGCGCGACGAAGCGGCAGTTTACAATTCTCTTGCCATCTCGGCGTCGGAGGGGAGTGTACACAGAAGACACGGAGGGCGTTAGGATAAGAGTGATGGTGGCACAAGATGCTGCTCTTTTGGGTGATTAACGAAGTGATGTTGACCGCGCTGCAACCGCACACCTTACTTGCATGTGCCAGTGTTGTTCGCAGCAGACGCTGGGGCGTTTCATGGGAGCTGGGTTTGGCACTGCACCAGTCTGTTCTCCACCAATTATGGAAGCTGGCAGGCGACCAAAATTGGTAGAGGACAGGCTGGCTCCGCCCTAAGCCCAGCCTCCTTGGAACGCCTAGTGGCAGCGAACAAGAGCGTACCCTGGCGTTTTACGTGCCCGCTGATCTTTCAGAGCTCTACAGAACAAGGTTTGTTGTCCACACGAAAACTGAATTAGTACGGACTTGGTAATCAAAAGCAATTCAGAGAGTCATCTCGAAAATGATTACCTGTTGATCGTGAGCACTCAACGAACTCCATAATTTTGGTAGGTTTTTGGATTGGAAAGTCCAGCCTTGGGTTGTAAAGTAATGCAACGCCTCAACCATTCGCCATACTCGGGAATACAATCGTACGTTCCTAGCGAAAGTGGATATATAAAACCGTCGCCAAATTAATGGTGTAAATATGACCTACTTCTTTTTCCTTCCAAACAGTCCGTTTACGAAATCCAGTGTGGTAGCCGGGATGTGATGTTTTATGTAATAATTGAGCACAAACATTTTTCTACTAGTATGGAACCTGGTCGATGGTATTGAAAAGCATTGTTCCATTGGATACTGCAAAGTACTGTGTTTCAAGCTTAATAGAAGCTTGGATTACTATTTGGAAAAGAGGTTTTTTTTCATAGAGTTCGAGGTTGGTACTCGAAGTATGTACCTCATGGTAGAATTGTTCCAAGAAGTTGACGATTTTCTCCCACCTCAAAGGGTTGAGATCGCCAGAAGCACAATGCATCACGGGTATCGTATCATACCTGAAAATCATCGTTTTAATATAACAATAACGAAAGGATGACTATGAACCCTTGTTTCAGTACGTGTGTCACTTTCACATATAGTACTGTATGACTCTGTCAAGTCACCACGGCAGCCCAACTATTTGGCCAATAAACAATTCATACTCCAGTTCGCTGCGGACGGTTGGGCGTGTCAGGCAGTATGAGTGTGTCACCCGTCAAAGCCGTTCTCTGCCTTCTTGTTGAAGCGCGCATGCGACAAAAAGTGGTAGAAAACGAGTAATACGAACGATATGATACAGTCATATCATTTGCTCGCTTTAACAACTGGTGGAGAACGGTTTGGCACCGCGCCAAACTCATCCCGCCTGACACGCCCAACCGTCCACAGCGAACTACACTGTAGTGCACGAGGACGGTGGCACCCTTTGAAAAGTTTCATTCAGTAGTGATACATATTGCACCCCCTGGTTGGCAATGGGTGAATCTTGCGATACAGTCGGCTGTGATTGGCAGATAGTGACCTTCCACCAATTACAAGTTAGTTCCATATCGGTGAAGACCCGATAAGCGTCATATCAAACTAGGTTATACTGACAAGCCACAGACCCGAAAGATTCCCAGTGAGAGTTCTTGTTTCGAAATCACTACTAGAGCTCTGAGCTTGTGCGTTGACCAAATTACGGTATTAGGTTGTTATTGTTTAATAACTGCTGTTTAACGCCGCGGTGCGCGATCCGAAAGTCAGGTTACGGTATGATACGATTTACCCTTTGGAAGGTTTCTTTCAGTCGTGATACCAAATGCACCCTCGGTGACAAATGGGTGACTCTTGCGACACTGTCAGCTGTGGTTCAGGCTGTTAATCCGGTATAACGTGACCCTGGCACATCTGGCTCTAGCTCTTGTTGACCCCAGAGTTAGGCTGGGTAGGTAGATCGGAGCCGTTTCCGAACTCTCCTACCACAGTCTGGGTCCTGGTGGCAGTGGATGGTGGTCATAGCTCCACGGGTGGTGCATGGCGTTGTGTATGTTCACAGGATCGATGGAACTAATTTTACTTCTAGTAAAGTTACGGTAGAAGTTTGGATTAGTGGCGCGCGCCAAATGGTACCCAGTAAAGGTTGTACAGGCCACCTACTGAATACGAAGCTCGTCCTACCGTGGGAAGAATTTCTGCACATTACGATCCCCTCGAAAATGAAACCTTTAATTCGACCCGCTTCCCCATTCCGCGTCCTACCTACCATGTTCCACTTTCCTAATGTTTTTTTACCAAAAATTTTCCACTTTCTCACAAAAAAAAACTGCTGTGAACCGGAGAGGGGAGTGATTAGTGCTCATGAAATGGCAAGAAATGTTTGTACCACTTCGCAGCATCGCAAAGGTTTCCGAATCTCGTCAAAGTGAGACTTGTTAGTCAACATGGACTAGTAATAAGTAGCGAAAGACCGAGTCAATAGCTCAAACTTATTTGCTCTCTCACTCCAGAACAAAATCATAAGTACAAGTGTAAGGACAGATGTCAGCTAGGTCACTCATCTGTCACTTTTAGTGAACATGCACGTGAAAAAAAATTTGGAATTCAGGCTTCCAACCTACACTGCTACTCATACCAGTACGGTAGAGCTCGACCGGAAAAAATACTCACATAGTAACAGCTCGGTGAGCCGCAGCAACGATGATCATATTGGCGACGATGTCCACGGGGATAATGTCTGCTTTTGAGCTCGCACTTCCGCACATGTTGGTCAGTACTCCTTTGCCGACCTAGAACAACTAGTGTGGCTGCACGCATGGACTGTATGCAAATGGTGGCTTTTTGAATGAGAAACGGTAATAAGGCTATGAGTGAATATGAGTAACCTGAACCAGTTGAATATGAGTAACCTAGATTTTCAAAGGTTTGCTTTTGCAAAGCCAAGATGAGCTCCGAAACATATTCCGCGATAGGCGGATGGGCGGGAAAGTGGAACCGCTTAGCCTTATTGATGCACCCGTCCTCTTAATCGTAGAACCGACGCACTAATAACGACGGCAGAGCGGTTGTGGGTCACCGCCTGTCCGTTTATCGCGAAATACGAAGAAGAAATCCTCGCGGAATATTGCTTCAAATGAGCATCCTAAAAGTTTCTGGGGAATTTTCGAAACAATAACATACAGAATCATCCTGTGTGCGGGGATGCCGTGACCATCAATTAGAAGAGGACATCTTTGAAAAGTTGGCAAGAGAACAAGTAAAGTAGAAGGTTAAAACGTACCGCTGCGAAAATACCAGTTGGTCCGTTGATGTTATCTGTCCAGCCAGGGAGTGGATCTTTCCACATGGCACCAACAATCGACGGTCGAATGATGATTACCGGTAGTTGCTTGGCGTCTTCAACTAGTTGCGTCTGAAACGCTCATGATCATTTCGAGATCAAAGAAGATCATTTGTAGCAAATCAATATGGAATGAAAATATTTGGACTGCCGGAACGGTTTTAGTCAGATCCCTTCACTGCATTCACAACGGCTGGAGGAGCCGAGCCAAGGGGACTGGGTAGATCAAGGTGGAATAGAGAAACATGTCCCTTCTGCTTCTTATTCATAGCAAGTACTACTTAGAATATCCTGCACTAGGGGCGGAAGTGGTGCTGTGGCAAGTAGCCCACTTAACACCGCGCGGTCCGTGATCAAATACCGGATCGGCTCCCGCCCGCGCCAGCAAAGTCTTCTACCTTCCGGGTACGGTAATTTTGTACCCAAACCGTTTTGGAGTATAAAATCACTGATTTTTGCATCAGCGTCGCTAAAGAACTGCTTATGATGAAAAGGGTGAACGAAGAATCGCCTCATAGCTTACCTCAGCCAACGCCTTTGTGAGCGTGTAGGTGTTCGGGCGACTTCCCAACAATTTCGGAGTGATCTGAAAAATCATCATACCAGTTGGATTATCATAAGTTACCGAAGCAATCACTGGCTGCTCAATGGAAGCGATGATGAGGATCAGTAAGACAAGTAAACCATTTCTCTCTGTAGTGCTTTGGCACGAAGTTATGAGTTCTTGACTTTTCTCGTCCACATCAGGGCACGCTCCTCCCTCTGCGCGTGTTTCCCCACCCGTCTCCCCTTGTTCTACTGCACATATTTCCCGACCTCCAGACCTGTATCTTATGGAAAGGAATACGAATCTTTGGCGTCTGCCCAGCTCAGCGCACATCCCGTCCACAGCATGTGTATTCCCTCTTCTCATACACTGACTCCCTGCTAATTTTAATCCGCTTGTCCACTTGTTCTCGGCACCTGAACTGCTCTTGAGCCGATCCCCAAATTTCTTATTTTGGTCACGCCCAGTTGTGCTCACCCCACCCACAGAATATTTGTTTCCCTCTCCTCGTCCGATAACCCCTTGTGGACCTTGACTCAATTATTCCCTGTAGCTGGGTTGCTCTGCAACTGGTCCCTGAAGTTCTGACTTTTGCTTCTCCCACCTCATCTTTTCATCACTTTTCCCGGCACCTGAGCTTTTCTGAAAACGACTCGCGAATTCTGATCCTGGCCCCGCCCACCTCGCGCATGTTCCGCCCATGGAATGTGTGCCTCTCTTCTTATCCGCTGACGCCTGGTAGATTTTGAAAGTTCCAGCTCAGAACAATTGAGGGAGGAGGCCCATAGGCAGCTAGAGAGCTGATTCTAGTGATTACCAAAGTTAACATATCGTTGTTCATCCATTCGATAGCTTCCATTAGCTTCTGTGGAGAAACTGGCGGATCATACACCTAAAAACGTACTTCACTCTTATTTCGCGGATAAATAGTTTCATGCAGACGATATTACGCTCCATGTCCCAGAGCTGGAGTGGGCGTGGCTGCGGGGTTGATTTGAGCCATTAGAGGGATTTTGCCATTTTGGTACATTTGTAGTCACGTCCATGAGCAGCGTGGAACGGGATGACGACTTGTCCAAATGGAAATATTCCACAAAAAAACGCATCATACACCGTGTTCAAATGTGGTACGCAGCCACGCCTACCGCATCCTCGAGATATGAGTGTAACTTACCTTTTCTTCTATCTCGGCCCGATCACAATTCGCGTATGCGGTTGACACATGGACCAGTGCCTAAATACTTGAATTGTCCAATTTCTCTTCATGCTGAAAATCCAAGTCTGAATTATAGGAAGTTTATTGGGATTTTTTCTGTTATGATTGGCACCTATTCTCGATGAAGTCGATAAGAGGCAAGACTAAGTGCTCTATCGGCTCCGATGTACTCATCTGCTCGCCGCTAATAACGGACAAAGGGCAAAGATTGTCCGTCGGACGAAATGCAATGATAAGAACTGCGGATCGCTAGGAAATGCACTACTCTGCGTGTCCCTGTGCATCATAACCGGAAACGATTCTGGTCTAGTTCGATCTGAAACTATCTGATGACCTATGAATGGCCCTCCAGTTGTTGGCTACGCGATAGCTATACGCCCAATCGGAAGCTTTTAGAAAAACTTTTAATCCCCACATGTGATTCCCATGGTACTGTTGGCGAGTTATTCGTTGTCCTTTATATCGGCGAGAAAGTACAGCCAATGGGGGTCGAGACACGGAGAACAGGTCTGAGTGAGAATCAGGAGAGGTCTGATTGTCGTCTGATCGCACGAGGCATGACTGCTATGTGATAGCCTACCGAACTTTGAACACAAAACGAATTCCAGGCAGCGAAAAACGAGCGTTGAGATTTCGGAGCACAAAGAGCTCGTTCATTCGACCAAAGATTGTTTCTCTATGAGAAATGAATAAAGTACGCGGAATCGACGGGCTAAGAAATCCTGAAGTGTGCATCCTGGTGAAGGTCAACACATGCGAGCGAAGAGGCGTTATTTGCGCCAGGACTCAACTCACTCAGGTAATGCTACAATACTTCAAGACGTCTAATTAGGAAATAGTTTGCGCGCGATTAGGGCGGAAATCCGCGGCGGAGTTGTCGTAATAGCCCCCTCGGGAGCATGTTGCATCTACAGAGGTAAAAATGAACACAGCGGCTACGTAGCTTGCAGGATGGGTGTGTGTCCGGAAAGGAAGTCGAGTACATGGCGCATTCCATGGAGGTGTTATTCAGCGACTCATCTCATCAGTTCGTGTTGGCACATGAGGAGGAGGTGTACGAGAAGCCTACCGAGCTTTCTGGACGTGGGCCTTGTAGGGAGGGAGAGATCCTCATGCTGCAGTGGAACATGCAGCGGAACTTTCATAGCGAAATCCGCGACGGGCAAATTTTTGCTATAGTTAGTGCCGCTTGTCACTGAAGCGGCTAGGGTCCGCGCTTGCTTCAAACCAGGCATGTGGCGTCGTCGCCAGTAACGCGGGCCTTTGGGGGTTTTATGGGAGAGGAGTGTGGTAACCACCCAGTTCGGTGAGTTGAGGCATTTTGTCGAAGGTGCCGAACGGTTCATGCCAAGCAGATGGAATATTCACGTTCAAAAGGGCAAACAACCCACGGAGACAAAACTCCGGACAATCGATGTTCTGACCCAAACTTAGAAATCTGTGGCAGTAAAGGGTCTACTAGTTAAGGACTTGTAAAGCGCATACAAAAAAAATCCGGATGCTCTTTTGTTGAGTGCTCCCTCTAGAGGAACCCGACACACAGGAAGAATTCTTGTGCTCATGACCTTACAGGATATCTACCTCAAGCAAGCGGTGTATTTTTTCGAACCTTACGGGCGACACCCAGAACTAATTCTATATCTGGTCCACAAATCCCGTCATGGCAGAACTGATACAAATGTTTTTGTGGAACAGATGGTTTAAAAGCTTTGATTTGCAGGGGCATTCTGGATGCCATCATTTTCCCAGTGGGCTCGATAACGGCTTGAAAAACTGTCAAGGAAACTTCGATTGCAAACTTACGATCAGTTTCTGCATCTTATGACACAAGGCAATGAGCCTAGTAGTGCCTACGACGTTCATCTCTACGGCATCTCTGAGCTGCTCGTCAAATTTCACTGTGGCTGCACTATGAATCACGATGCTCACCTAAAATTTGCCCTCAATCACGACTGCCACTGTCATGCTAAATGCGAATAGTACGATAATATTTCCGTCCTTATTTTAGCTCCGGAGCAACAATTTCAAATTGCTTCAGCTGTCTCTTCAAAGGCAGTTGGCACGATAAATCCCTAAGACGAGTGGGATCAATACGCCTGGCAGGACAGAATTCCGCGACCCTGAGCAGGCGCTGCGTAGCGCCTTTTCCAAGCAAGGCCCTTATAGCGCCGGATCAGGCCGCATCATACCGACCCGGACGTCCGCCCGCCCACAAATGGACGACTGTACCTGATGCTGGTTATGCTTCATTTGCTTAAAGAAATATAAGCGAAGGGAACTGTATGAAGCGGCTGCATTGCTGCATGGATATGCAAGTACATAGGGGCAGTCGTACCTACCGCAGCGGTTATCAGCACAATGCCAACGGGAAACTCGTCCGAAATTGCTTTTTGAGTCATTGAGAACGAAGGCTTTTCTTCGCAGGTTTTTGACCGTTTCACTTCGTTTTTTCGCCATTTCCCCACTATATAGCGCCCTGCTAGCATTTTAGGCCGAGTACCAAATTATCGTGCCAACTGCCTTTGAGGCCTAATCACTTACTGTTTTATTCTTATTCACTACTCTTTTACTCCAATTGCTGATTCATATCTGTATTCGATGTTATACTGTACTTTAGCAATAGTTACGAGAGAATATTTCTATAGCAACAATTCAAAGGTTTTTCAAGGACCATACCACGTGAATAATTCCCGAAGACTGTCCCGAGATGTGCTGCTTCATTCAAAAACACTGGATAGTTTGGGTGCAGGTGTTGGTGCTAACGTACTTAAGTAACCAGTCTAAGGATGGTATTGTAGACAGACGGAGACAAAGCCACCACTGAGCTCTAGCTTTCATTATTACGAAAATACGTACAGGTGCTGCCGTGTCTCTCCCACTCCCCTCCCCTTACCCTCCCCCGTACGTCGACGCCGAGATGTCAAGTTAATTGTAAGAACTACTATCACCCACGCGGTTTGGGGTCTAATCTTGGATCGACCCCGGCCACGGCAACGATGCTTCTGCTTGAATGGGATTGGTAGCAGACTTGTCTTGGGGGGGGAGACCATCAATTAGTTCCGGCTGGCTGGCCCTCGCTAGTAATTGCAAAGATCACTTCCCATTCAAAAACTACTGCGTTCCCGAATGGAAGTAGAGTGCGTGGTGCATTCCGACAACATCGGAAGCACTATACTTCTTTCATTATTATCACATTAATTGTTCATTACAATTATTTATTGATTATTGCATTTGGATTCGCGCCCTCCGCAGCCACGTAAAAATTGTCGTTTTCCGGCTAACATCCAATTCCAATGTAATGTCGTTCCTTGAAAATCATCAACCAGTTTCTGCTACTGACGTTTGACATAAATAGTCTTGAAAGTCGGCCCTTTTGAAGGCTGTTTAGAAAGCTTATTACCCCACTGCTGCTGACAGGAAACCAGTGGCAGTCGATTTTGAAAAAAAAACATCTAAAGTAGTACAGTATGAATTAACCTGATCGCATATATTCTGCATGTCATGTTGATTTAGACCAAGATTGTTCTCCATGAGGTCGCCGGCAATCGGCACCAACTTGCTGAACATCTGAGGCCTATGTTCACGCAGCCGGTTGAACAGCGGATCCTTAAATTCAGGCCGAATGAAATGTGAATACGATCTGCCCGTAAAAAAACGATTTTTTGATTCATAGAATCTCAGTACAATGAGAATATGAAAATCAAATGTTTGCTCAAAAGTCTCACCTGCAAAACCTTTTCGAGTCTTTCTTTCGGTGACAATCCCTTGGCTGGACGTATAAGCAGGAATATCTGACCAACATTTGGCAGAGCCCATAGTATTTTTTCAACAAGCACCTGAAAAGTCAAAAATTGGTGTACGTCAAGAGTTCTGTGACTAGGGTTCTGATAAAAAAAAGCACTGAAATCAAGATCGCTTTTCAATAATTCCAAAACGATTAACGAAAGTTTTTTTAATAGTATTAACTGTCCAAGGACTATGAGATCCGGACGTTATGATCGACTAGTAGGCTTACCTTTCCCAAGAATCCCGTCGATCCAGTAAGCAGAACACACCGATCGGAGTACACGTCCTCCACCCGCCAGGACATGGTTACCCTAAATTTTTTCGCAGTTTTGCATTTATGCGTCGTCTTGATAGGAGTGTAGGGAAATCGTCGAATAGAAACGTTATAAGATAAGAGGAGCATGTCTGACATGAAGAGGCTAAGGAATTTGACCCAATAAGATATATATTATCCAATTAGCCTCGATGTTAATCGTATATCGCGCTCCTATGCCACGTAACCCTTCAGGGTATGTCCGCACAGATTTGACCCGATTTCGATCGATTTTTCGGTTCTTCCACGGCGGCGCATAACTCCTGTTTCTGGTAGAAGTTTTGGAAAGTTATCATTTTGTCAACCTCACCTCAGTCATGATGAGTCACAGGGTTGAAGAAATCACCCGAACTAGCTGTGCTTTTTGAAGTGTCTTCTTTGTCTCAGGTATTTCCCTTTTTTTGAACAGCTGTGGCTTGGGGGGGGGGGAGAGACATTTACCACGTTCATCCCCATTGACGTGTCGGGCCATCAAGTAGAGACCTATGACATCTTGTCAAGCTACGATGCGATGAGAAGTAGCGAAAGTGCAAAAAGCATCCCCCCTACTCGTACCCAATCAGACTGCTTTTTCCAATTAATATTTTTGTCTGCTTAAAAAATGTTGCTGGCCCTTGTGTGCTAGATGTTCTTTGACCTCTTAAAGGAGATTGATAGCTGCCATAGCTATGAAGCGGTTTACAAGACAGTAGACTTTTTTCAGAAGTGTCTTATCTTTTTTTTAATATGATCCCAAAATATGCTTAATTTTGAGAAGGGGCTTAAAATTTCAAAATTAAAAAATTGAGATTTTTGAATGCCGAAAGGCATAACAAGGTTTTCTTTTTTGGGATGGAGTTAAGATTCCATCCTAAAAAAAGAAAACTGTAAGATTATAGTATAAAGGGAGAGGCAAAGTGATCAAATGGACACTAAAATGGCACGATTTTCTGAAACAATTCAACGAGGCCCTTATTTTCAATTTTTCAAAGGATGATGTCATGGATGATATTGTTAAATCTAAAGTAGCACTTTCACAGCATTTGGCAATTCAGAACACAGAATAAGAACAACATGTACACGGAATAATTGAAAGAATTTTATGGTCTACATTGATCTGATCGCGATCTACATAATCAATAACGTCAATAGTGTAGGCATGAAAATAGAAGATTAGAAAAGCTTACAATGATATCACTATTAAGTAATCTTTACGACACGAATATTGCACGTCTTTTTAGAAAAGCTTCAATGAAGGTCGATATGGAAAGGGAAAAGTTGGGGTTAATGCGAAGAGACAAGCACGAAGAGCGAATTGGCCAGTCCTGATATGCTGTGCGGTGTGCTGTGTAGATAACAACAATGCCACTCAACCATTGATGGTGATAAATACCACAAGGAGGAACGAGGGCAGCACTGGGAGCACTGGGTAAATGATCCTTCGAACATTTAGCTGGTGAATGGCTGTAGAAGTTCAGGGCCCCAAGGCCGTGATTGACCATACATTTAGGGTTATTCACAAAACTCACCAATTTCACTGAATTCGAGGGAAATCAGAAATGTCCAGTGAAAACAGCTATCTGTAAAGCATCTACCAGTAGAAACCATTCGGCGGTAGACAAGGTAATGCGGGCAAGAAAAGCTGTATCAGCCTGCAAAATGGCTCCGAGCTTTTCCCTTTATCACTGCTTGACGATTTCAACTCTCAACAAAAAATCGCTTCAACTAGAACAAGCATCTGTATTCCTCATGCTTATACTGCCTCATATATGTGTTAAGCAGAGTGAAAGTACTGCCCTGTTCGCTGCAGATGGCAAGGGACTGTTCCTGGCGTGGCGCCAGCCCGTTTCCCACCTTTTGTTGTCTCTTGTCTCAATGATTTGTGGACAGTGCTGACGCCAAACTCAGTCCCCACCACAGCAGCTTAGAAGACTGTAAACCTTTAAGATAATATCTGACGCCTGTACATCGTTTTTGCCCTCTCTTCTTGGACACCATCACAGCAGAATCACGGGTGCATCGAGAAATCCTACCATACTGTCCGCGATCGAAGTAGGACGTAGAGGAGGGTGGGGAAGGTGCGGGTAGGAGGTAGAACGAGATTGTTAGTAAGTGAGCCATAGGTACCCTTGAACTGAAAGCGGTCGTAGCCCTTATGTGAAAGGTTTCTATTGCCTTGCATGCAAAATTAGCATTTGAAGAGCTCAAAAATTTAAAATGGAAGGTTAGGGCGTTTGAAGCTTTAGAGAGTCATGCCTTCACACTAGAAACCGTGGGCGCAGATTCGACTTGTGTCTTACAGTGTCTCTTGGTTAAAAAGAAGTCATTGCGCTGACCATCTATTCGCAGGATGCGCCACACGCACTCCTTTTATTGAGTATCGCTGTTACTTTTCGATTGCAATTTAGCCCGCACAATGAGCTGAGGAATCGACTAGCTCGTGAGATTCTTCCAGGCTGATACCAGCAAACCTGTACCGAAGATACAGAGTTCTTGGTTGACCAGGGCGGGGTCGATCCGAAACTCAGCTCGGTGTGAAGCCGCACCACTTGCTACATTGATTTGGCGTTCTCATCCCCAAACTTTGCTGAAAATGATCTGTTACGCTGTTACCTTCAGTAGAGCAGCTCTTAAAGGGAATAGGCATGATTATTCAGCAGTCGGCCCAAAATGGTAGCATGGGTTCTGTATAGTAGGAAATGGCGAAAAGCGAAGTGAAACGCTCAAAATCCTGCAAAAAGGCCTTTCTTCACACGAGTTAGAATGCAATTTCGGACGAGCTCCCCGTGGGCATCGTGCCAATAATCGCTACGGTAGGTACGACTTCATGCATGCGTTCATATATCCATGTAGCACCGCAGCGGCTTCGTATCTGTTATGAGCATCAGCATAGGTCTAACATTTGTGGTCAGGCGGGCAGAGTGGGCGTCCGCGTCGGTATATTGCAGCTTGATAAGACCTTATAAGGGTACCACCTGCACAGGAGCGCGGAACTCCGCCATGCCAAGCGTATTAATCCTACTCGTCTAGGGAATTTATCGTGCCTCCTGCCTTTGAAGCATTCTGAAGACCGCTGTCAAGCGCTGGTGAAGCAAGCGTGGCTCAAGATTGAATTTGATATTTCTCGATTTTTGCCTAAAAAAAAGCTTTACAGAGGTTTGCTCACCAGTCAGCCTTGGCTCACAGTGCAGGGAATCGGCAAGGGATCATTTCTTATTGATTTTTCCAGTATCCATCAAGTCAGCCCATAGAACCAAATGAAACCCTTTTTTTCATTGATGTACCATAAAACTGTCTGTATAACTTGAACTTGCGAAAGAAGATTTATTTCGATAAGCTGTTAATGAATAATCGGACTATTCGCCACAAAGAAGGTTCATCTTGCTTTATTGTCACACTTTGTAAGAAGACATTGAGAATTCATTTCAAATTCGGCGTTAATGTGCCAGAATAGTTTGTTCGAGGATATTGAGTCACTACATGAAGTATAAGCGGACTTTCACCATCAATCGGTCTTTGTTGGTATGCGCCACGCATGCTACATCCGCTCCGAATTGTAACGGTAGTTCAAATGTAGCTTGACCTATTCAGAGAATTGCGCGGGCAGCCAATCTACCCGTCAGTGCTTTTATCTCTTGTGACCCTGATGTCAATGGGTCCCGAAAAAGGGTTTGGTGGACCCGGGCTGGAACTGATGCGAGTATTTACCACGAAGGAAGCGGCGTGGAAAGCTGTGTACACAGTATAACCTCCATATTACTGTTTCATTCAGGAAGTAACGACCGATATTCTTTTCTTATGTACTACTGCAGCTACAATCAAGATTTGATAGCAATCTATTGGGCATAGCCTTAGTCACAATGGTCAGAGCCTGGAAAGAAAGATGCCCACGCAATGCCAAGATTTGTGGGACTTCGGAACTCGATTATTAGTCGCTTATCGAAAAAAAGTCTGTAAAAAACCGTAATAGCACAAAGAGTAACTTAACGGCACTGCAGACAGTAATGACGGCCTCTAGCAACAACTGCTTCAGTCCCATGATCAAAGCATTTTTTGTAACTTTTTATGCTAAAGCACTAGATCGAAGGTCAAGGAATGAACTGGAGAAAGTGACCTATTAGATTTTCCATAAGAAAATTGCTTTCTAGAGGGACCAACGAGCTCCGCTGCGAAGGTACGAGCAAAGATGGCTAAGTGGATCCCCTATGAGGGGTATTGATCTTCCCATTGGGAAATTTGCTGATTTTCTTAACGGATTCCACTGCGATATTTGAGGTCGTCATTCAATATTATTATAGCAACTACTTAATGGTAGACGCACGCAATCATAGAGTGAGCGATAAGGACGGTGTCACGCCATCGCACACCGCAGAGTGCGAAGTTTGTTTTTTCTCTCTGCAGATTTTCGGCACTGTTCTCTAAGCTCTCCGAACATGTGACTATAAAAACCATCTGAACGTGATTTGTGAGAAGACCAGGATTTAAATCTTCAAGATTCAGAATTGTCATTTTCTGCCATTTTTCCAAAGAAGGGGCAGTATAATTTCGCTAAAAACTTTTTTCCTCAGTAATTGAGGGCTTAGAAACAAACTGCACATTCACCTCCGAGGATGAATGATCTTTGAAATGTGCAAGATGAAAGGGCTCACAGCTGCAATAGGGTGCCGATTTCCCCGTTCGAAAGTATATGGGAACGGAGATGTAGGGTAATGATACCCGAGTGCCTACATGCTCCGCCCTCGCTATCCTCAAGGCGCAGCGCTTGCGTCGATACCAAGGTCCCGCAGCGAGGCATGCTTTCAGTGCTTCCAGTAGGAGAGCAAACAGAACTAAGAGGGCGTTGACAGGTTTCGCGTTTGGCCACGGCTAGGCATGTAGCTTGTGGGTGCGGCAGCGCGGGCGGAGTACAGAGACGGCCACCGGGTAGTGCTGCTTTCCAGCCTCATTCGCGCGCACTTTCGGCCGCAGAAAGTGGCACGCTAATATAGCTGCGACCAGTTTATCTCATCACC